AAAATTGTTTCAGAAAAGAAATGAAAAGAAAATGCAGAGACAAAGATTTGGGTGGAAACTAATAAATTGGGAAAGCAGACATTGACCCCATAAAATTCAATTAAATTCAATTCAGTTTATTTCTATAGCGCCAAATTCACAACACATGTCATCTCAAGGCACTTTACAGTTCACCAGATCATACAGTCAAATTGATTCAAAGTTTTCTATCTAAGGAAAACCAGTTGATTGCATCGATTCATTGTCTTAAATACAATCCCTCACATTAAGCATGCTTGTAGCGACAGTGGAGAGGAAAAACTCCGTTTTAACAGGAAGAAACCTCCAGCAGAACCAGGCTCAGTGTGAGCGGCCATCTGCCGAGGCCGACTGGGGGTTCAAGGAGACAGAAGCAGAGACACAAAAAGCAGCTGTAAAAGGCGGCCCCGTCCAGGAAACACACAGCCAGGCAGACGAGCTCCGAGCCAGCTCCCATGCCAGAGGATGAAGAGAGCACATCCAACCAGTCACGGTCAGAGAAACAGGACCACACTGGAAAACAGGCTGATCTCCAGCATCTATAAACAAGGGTGTTGATGGAAGCAGCACAGCTGATGTTTCTCTCCAGGATGGAGTCACAGCCAAACAGGAACAGACGAGGCAAAGCTACTATGAGAAAAAGCAGAGAGAGCAGAACGTTAGAGATTGAACTAACAGATTCTGCAGAGTGGGAGAATAGAGATAGAATGAAGCAGAATGATGAAAAAGGAGTCCCTATGTCCTCCAGCAGTCTAAGCCTATAGCAGCAGAACTATAGAGATAGCTCAGGATAACCTGAGCCACTCTAACTAGAAGCTTTATCAAAAAGGAAATTCAAAGTCGCTTAAATAAAAAGAAAAATTCTTCTAGTGTTTAATATAAGCATCCAGTAAAGCATTGGTCCTCAAACTGAATCCTGGTTGGACTCTCTTTGACTTAATAGAATGCTTTCGCAAACCCCGTTGATCAATATTTTTGACAGTTGAAAAAAGAACAAGTCCATTGCAGAAAAACGTATAGCAATAAAACTATAAACTTTTGACTTTAACTCTTTATTATACAGAGTAACATAATTTACATTGCCATTAATATATATGTATATATTTCTTTTTTAAGACCTCTAAAATTTGTCATTTATGTAGTTAATTTTTAACAGACTTTCCTGCAAATACACTGAGTCCCCCCTTGGAGGCGCACCCCCAACTTTTGGAACCAATGCAAAGGTACATAAGAGCTACATGTGATTACTGATTGATGCCCAGGTAAGTAGTTTTAATGGTACTAGAAGAGAAATCTGTATTAAATATGTAAAAAAGCAAAATCCTGCTAGAGGAGAAGGGGGTTTTCCTTAACAAATAGCTTGGTGAAAATGTGATACAAAACAGGCAGCTAATAGGTAAGTATTTTGATTGATGCAGTATAGAGGACAGAGGTGGAAAGAATACTAAAAAATTGTAATTGAGTAAAAGTATCTTTACTTTGCCTAAATTCTACTCAGAGTAAAAGTAAAATTACCTATCTCAAATTTACTCAAGTAAAAGTACAAAATTACTTCGTTTAAAATGTAATTTGAGTAAAAGTTACACTGCAAAAACAATCCAGAAATAAGTAAAAAATGGCTTAAATTAAGTATATTTAGCCTTAATTTGAGCAGGTAAATAAGATGATTTGCCAATGGAATTAGTATTTTTACTCTTAAAATGAGATAGTTAGATAATATTTACTTGAAATAAGACGATAAAATTTTTTTTTTCTTATTTTAAAAGGAAATTGTCTTGTTCCATTGGCAAAGTGTCTTACTTACCTCCTCAAATCAAGGAAAAACACACTTATTTTAAGAAAAAATAACTTATTGAGATTTCTATTCTTTGCAGTGTACTTAGTTACTTTGAGTTATTTAATGCAAAAAAGGATGAGTCATGAATCGAATTGAGCACAGTCACAAGGACAGTCACAACCTGAACCATAAAGTGCAAACGATTTTCAACCCTACTGTCCAACAATAAAGAAATTTAAACTACAATTTAAAGAATTCAAACTGCACACAAAATTAATTGCCCAAAAGATACCAGAAATCAAACTAAAATGCCACAGGGTCCCACTGTTCACAATAAAACAAAATTCTCACAGGATCCAACAATTTAAAAGAAAATGCTCACAGGATCTAACTTCAAAACACAGTGTCCGCATTTCATTTTTTTACCAGTATTTTTTTATTATTTATTTTTTTTTACTCAGTAACGTGAGGAGGTTTTAAATGTAGCGAAGTAAAACTACTTAGGTTAAAATTTACTTGAGTAAAAGTAAAATTACATATTTCAAAAACTACTCAGAAAATTACAAATTACTCAGAAAAAGTACTCAGTTACAGTAACGTGAGTAAATGTAATCCGTTACTTTCCACCCTTGATAGAGGATTACTTTTTTTGCAGGAAGTTAATAAAAAATATATAATTTCCTACAGAACACAATTGGTTTTTTGTAGATTTAGGCTGGATCTGCTTCCCAGTATCCAGCCTATTGATCATCTAATCACATCAAACAGAATAACTGCATCTTTTGACCACACTACCCAGTATTTTTAACCTAAACGTAAAGAAATCTTGATTACTGTGAAGGTTTTATTAGCTAAAGTTAACTGGGTGAAACAGTAACAGATAATAGTGTTTTAGATCAGAGGACTGCAAAGAATATCCCTACCACACTGTTAGGTCAAATCATTAGGAATTTTAATCTACACTACAGAAACAATCTAGAAATAAGTAAAAATTTCTGAAATTAAGTATTTACCCTTAATTTGAGTAGGTAAATAAGATGATTTGCCAATGAAATTAGTATATTTACTCTTAAAATAAGATAATTAGATAATATGAACTTAAAATAAGACAATGCAATAGTTTTTTCTTATTTTAAATGTAAATTGTCTCGTTCCATTGGCAAAGTGTCTCACTTTCGTCATCAATTCGAGAAAAAAATGCACTTATTTTAAGAAAAAATGACTTAGATTTCAATTTTTTGCAGTGTACTAATCTGGTTTTCCTGTGCCTTAAATTGTGATTGAATTGGGTTGTGTTATCCCGTGCATTTTTTTTTTTTTTTTGTCTCTCATTCTTCTTTGGAGAAGAAACAGGTTGTTTTCATTACTCATCATTGTGGATCAGTTTTTTTTTTGCACTGGTGTCATCAGGGAATGAGGCTTCATGAGCTACTTGCGATCTTTCAGCATGTGGAGATAAAACAAGCCTAAAATGGTCTGACATGTATACAACTAAGGCAACAAACATTCAGCTTTAACAGCCTCTGATCTTTTTGGAGAATCATTTGTTCTTCCAGTCTGTTTATTGTATACTGCAGTATCCTGTTGTTAGTGGAATTTAACATGGCTTCAGTTACAGGTTGTTTGGTTCACCAACATTTAGTTATATTAAGGTATGTGTCACATTCAGGTTGGGTCAGTGGATGAGCACTCCTTCTGTGCTCCTGCGTGGTTTTCATTTGGGACACTCAGCAGCAAAACAAACAGACAGAAAATAAATAACAGGGAGGAGTTTTTATAACTCTGTTTTTTGCACAGAATACATTTTGTGGCACATGATATTTCATAAATTATCTGTACTTTCAAGAGACACTCTGGTGAATTCAGGTATAGACTCACCGTTGTAACAAATGAACATGCTTTGATCTAACCCATTCTGTTTTTGCTCATTTTGCATGTTTAGATGTGTTTATCTATGAAATGAACATCAGCCTAACTCAGGTTTTTTGGGGCCTCTAACAGATATTATCCAATATATCTGTGTTTATAGCAGCATCCATCTCTGACCAGTTCATGGTGGGGAAATTAGCATCTTCCCTGCATTCAGGGTGGATGATTATTGCTGTTTTTGGCTCACTTAGTATTTTTAACAGTCATAAAAATCTAAATTTGTATCCTCTAATCAGAGCAACTTGATTAGATCAAAGTAATTTGATTACCTTCCAGATTTCCACTGGGAAAAAACTATGTAACATCAAAATTAGATGTGAAAAGCTCAAATTATAGTAGAGATAATTCTTTCACAACTCAATAAACAAACATTTGTAAATCAATTTCAAGGAAAAGAGAGAAGTTACAGGTAAAAACGCAACAATCAGTGCTCTAAAATTGATATGAATACGAGATTAGAGAGAAAAAAAGGTCCCACTTCAAAGCTGCAAACTCCTTATTTTAATTTATTTGCTTATTTCTTATTTATTCTAGCAATATAAACTAAAGCAAACAAGCAACACAGTAGTTTTCTATCTATCTATCTATCTATCTATCTATCTATCTATCTATCTATCTATCTATCTATCTATCTATCTATCTATCTATCTATCTATCTATCTATCTATCTATCTATCTATCTATCTATCTATCTATCTATCTATCTATAATTTTTTATATATATATATATATATATGTATATAATTATAGATAGATAGATCTATCTATAGATATGGAAATACATATATAATTTTATATATAGCCTATATATATATATTATATCTATCTATCTATCTATCTATCTATCTATCTATCTATCTATCTATCTATCTATCTATCTATCTATCTATCTATCTATCTATCTATCTATCTATCTATCTATCTATCTATCTATCTATCTATCTATCTATCTATCTATCTATCTATCTATCTATGTTAAAAAAAACTTTTTCTTTTGTCTTTGGACCCCAGTTTTCAGTATTTAGTTTAATGTCGAATCTTTGTCGTGGTTTTATAAATAGAGGAAAGAAAACTCTCATTATAAGTTTAAAATGTATTTTGCATTTTTCATTCTGGTAATCCTCTCATTGAGCGCTGGAACATGAAAATTCCGAGCTGCCTTTGAATCTCTTTCTTTCCTTTTCTTTCATCTTCGCGTGGCCGATGATGCTGCGAGCTGATTGGCTGCCTGCTGCTGACTTATGAACCATCCCGCACAGCGTCTCTCCCAGAGCCGGACGGAGTGTGGCTCCCAGTCTGCGCCTCTGCCCCGCAATAACCCGCCCTACTCTGCCGCGCTGCGCTGCGCGTCATAACACACCTGAAACACGCAGCCTGCTGAGCTTCACCTGAGCGCTCAGAGCGGAACACAACCAGCAAACCATGCCGGTTCGCTGCATGATGCGCTGCCACAGGTTGCTGCTTTTACGCTCTTCTCGGAGGTAACCTGTCAGCCTGCATGCATCATCATGGACCTCCTTGCTCTGCTGATATGGACTGTACCCATCCCGCTGGCCGGCTGCAGCCACCTCAAACTTCTCTCCACCTTCCTGACTTGGAACCTCATCAAGGCATGTCGGCAAGATCTATTCCTCGCTCTTATATCCAGGACGTGTAAACTTGGAACAAAGACAAGCAAACATTGCCTTTGTCAGCCGCAAAGTGGCGGTTTATCTGTGATTGTCATTCAATGTGTGGAAAAGTGATGCCAAATTAAGCTGAAGTGTAACTCCTGTTGCAGCAGAGGAGCTGCAATCATCACCACTGTTTGGCATCCAGCTTCCAGCTCTGCTCCCAACCTGTTGCTACCTGTCCACTGATGCTTCTTTCCCCTCATTCTCTTCTCTTTGCAGACTCTGCACATTTGTTGCACACACGCCTCCCTCTCCGTTACGGCCAGCTACTCTTCCAGCCATATCCACGGATTAAATCATGGTGAGTGCTTGTCTTCTGACATCTATGGATGTTGCTTTCCAGCTGGCACTGCTCCAAGGTAGTAGAGAGAATGTGAATGAACTGGGTTACACTGGTGAGTGCAGCTTGCTGGAGTGCTGGTTCCTGTAGAAAAAGTCTTGGTGAAAAAAAAAAAATGGAGACAGACTAATTGGCTGTTAGGGTGCAATCCCAGCTGCTTGTGATGTAAAAATTCTGCAATTCCCTTGTTAAGACGTGGCTATTGCTCCCCATTCAAGGATTCCCTCCTAACTGCTTTGTTTTGTAAAATCTATGGCGACGGTTTCCATACTGTGGTCCCAACACTACGGAAGAGGATTGGGGCCACTGAAAAAATAAATAAAATTAACTGATTTTGAATTTTATTTCATTATAATATGAGAAAAAAGTCAGAATTCTGAGATTAAATTCTGACTTTAATCTCAGAATTCTGACTTTAAAGTCAAAATTCTGGGAAAAAAAGTCATAATTCTGACTTCTTTTCTCATAATATACTGAAATAAAATGTAAAAATAACTTAACTTTATTTTTTATTTTTCCAGTGGCCCTAATCCTGTTCTGTACAACACCAGTCCCAGATTGCATAGATTTAGGCCCCGTCCACACGAAGATGAACCCTGGTCTAAACGCACAAATTTTTCACCAAACCAGCCTCATCCATACGAAGCCGGCGTTTCGGGGGTCTGTAAACGATCTTTTTTTTATTCAGCCTTCAGAGTGGGAAGATTTCGAAACGCCGTTTTCGCGTTTCCATCTTTACGCTCTAACCGCAGATTTGTTTTTACACGCATGCGTCATAGCGTCGCCTCTAAACACGCATGCGCGACACAGTAATATCACAACAACAATGGCGCCGTTGCTGCTAATGCTACTCACCCTGCTGTCGGGCTTACAACAGAATCTTCTTCTTCTGGAATATCTCCAGGAAGAACAGAGCAATATCGACGACATAGTTTAGCACCTGAATTTGACTGAACCACGAAAATGGACCTGCAGGGAAACCATGTATAAATATTAGTGCGCATGCCCAACATTTCTTCGCCTATGTTTTATTTGGCACCACAGCGCCACTTACAGGCCTGGCATACATTTTGCAGCGTTTTCATGCATTCGTGTGGATGATCACATTTATTTTACGTCTCCGTCTTTACGGCAAACGTTTTGGAAAATATCAGCGTTTCGTGTTCGTTTTGACTTCGTGTGGACGGGGCCTTAGTTTCTTATGTGAGAAATTCACACCATTTGAGCCTTTGTGGATTTATTCAAGTCAGAATCACAAACTTAAAGGAATAGTACACCCAAAACATGATTAGCCTTCATTTTCTACTCACCCCCATGCTGAACAACACTCTGGAGTACTTTTTTGATATCTCAAATGCATCTGGAGATCTGGGAGGCTTCTTGCTGTCTGCTGACATTCAAATAATGGAGGTCTATGGCGCCCGAGACAGAAAGGTCCATAAAAGTCCACAAAAACGTGTCAATATTCCTCCATACTGCTCGTCCAATGTATTCCAAGTGTCCTGAGTGGGTAGCATCCAGAATTTACTCGAAACGAAGTCATTTAGAATGTTTTTAGAGCATAAACAGTAGTGTATGGTACACAAAGAAAATAACAACCTAGAAATAAGTAAACATTTCTGAAATAAGTGTATTTATCCTTAATTTAAGCAGGTAAATAAGATTAGTTGCCAATAGAATGAGGATTTTTACTCTTAGAATAAGATAATTAGATAATATGAACTTGAAATAAAACAATGCAATCGTGTTTTCTTGTTTAAATGTAAATTGTCTTGTTCTATTGCAAACAGCCGAACAATAAAGCAGACTGACTACGCCCTGGCTCGCTTCCATGTTGCTCTCCATTGTTTACTTTCCTGACTTCTGTTGCATTGATGTTATCATCAACGCAAACCCAGCGTGATGGCATCAGCAGACATGCAGCTGAGGGTGACAGCTTGCCAGCGGGGGGGTTCATACCCAGCTTTTTAAAAAGGGAAGGGAGACAAATGCTTATTGTTAGCAGCTCAACCCTGTTTGAAAGACCCGTATTAAATCGCACATTTCCGAGGGAAAGCGGGTTAAGTTTAGCGCCACACTTAATGGTTTGTTTGCAGGGCTTAAATAATAATTTAGACTGAAAAAAATGACTCAACACTTTGACTTGAGTTGTCCGTCGGCTTTTCTTCAGATTACGTATTTGTGACGCCGGTGGAGGTGGACTCAGACGGCGTGTACCTGACGCACGACGTGACCAGGAGAAGCCGCCGCAGCAGGAGGTCCCTCTCTCCTTCCTTGCACTATCAGCTCTCTGCCTTTGGGCAGGACATGCAGCTGGACCTGCTTCCATCGTCTGTGGTCGGGCCGGGGTTCAGCGTGCAGACGCTCAGCTCGGACGGCATCGCTACGGTGACGGGAGATGAGGAGATTCACCACTGCTTGTATCAAGGATTTATTCGCAACCTGTCAGCCTCCTCGGCCGCCATATCAACATGTTCTGGACTGGTAAGTTGGCTCTGTTGTAGACAAATCTCTTTTCAGGTGAAAAACTCCACATTTATTGTATGTTTTTGCTTTTCTAAAGCAATCTTACAATAAGTTATATTTAATGCTTTTTAGATTTAATATTGTTGCTTTTTAGGGTAAATAAACATTTAGCTTTATTTTTAAAGAGGCATTTTTTTGGCTTTGAATTAATATAGGACAACTATTTGGTGGACCAAAAGTATTGGCTTCATTTTCTTAAGGAAGGAAAGTTTATTTTTATAGCACATTTCAAAAAGCAAACAAATCAACCAACCATTATACATTTACACTTGGCTCTAATGAACAGGAATTAAAGGTAGTAAGCTTTCTACTCACACTTAAGGAAATGATTTTTGTATACTTTAATAATCCCAGAGGGAAATTACTTCTCTGCATTTAACCCATCCCATTGGGGAGCAGCATTGTGCAGCGCCCGTGGAGCAGTGTGGGGTTAAGGGTCTTGCTCAGGGAGCCAGAGTGGCAGTCGGGGATCGAACTCACAACCTCAGGAATCAAAGCCCTAAGTTAAAGTTGCTACTTGAAAAAATACTGAACCATAGAGATAAAAATAGCCCTGTGATTCAAATTATAAATTGTATTTGGAATAAAAATGAGAGAACTAGGGGTGCTAAAAAACACATCCTCCAAAGACAGATATTTACATGGGAATGCGGCAGATAATTAATTGACATATTACTGATCTTGCTGGATTTTATTCTGCTTTACTTCCATAAATTGCAGGATCCTCTTTACTTTATCTTTGCCAGAAGATTTAAACTTTAAAAGCCTTGCCCTCATAATTTGCAAGTTAATTTATTTATAAAGAAAATATAAACGCTGCTTAAGCTAATTCAAATGAAATTAAAAGTAAAATAAGTAGCCAAACTTATCACTACTAACACGGTAAGGAAAGCATCAGATGAGCTACCTGAGAAACTAACGTTACGTTTCCCCACTTTAAAACCAAACAAACATGGTCGCTCATCCTGCTGATCAGCTCTCTTCTCTGCCATCGAAGGCTCCAACGTGTTTCCTTTTCAGGTGCTGCATCATAACAGTTGTGCTTCCGTGCCATGTTCATTTGTTTTTACAAAAGTTGCATGTTACGACTTTTTTCGCTTAACAAAGCGCAGGCTATTTTAATTATTGTGATTAATTTGTGGCGCCAATCCCGGCGCATGCGCGCTTCATTTGCAGTCTGGACGCTGAGGGTAAACATCCTGCGGCTCTGACTGCAGCGCTGAGAGGGACTCCTGCGGGAGCGGGAGAACTGGGTTGGGATGGGGGAGGCGCCCCACGGCAATGACGACGGTGGCGGATGACGCATTAATCGCGCGACACAACTAATCGATGATGAAATTCGTTGCCAATGCTTTTAAAAGTCGATTTTTATCGATTTTATTGATTCGTTGTTGCAGCCCTACATCCGTCCGCCCGTCCATCCATCCATCCATCCATCCATCCACTCAATTTCCCACCTGTGTTTCCTTCCATCTATCCATCTGTCCATCTTTTCCCTCTTAATCCATCAGGATCACGTTGGGGCTGGTACCTAACTCCAGAATTCTATGGGCGAAAGGTGTGGTACACCCTGGACACGTTGGCAGTCCATCCATCGGAGGACAACACAGAGACACACAACCATGCACACACACACATTTAAGGACAATTTAGAGCTGGCAATTAACCTAACAGTTTATATACTTAACTTTGACTGAAGCCAAAGTACATGAACATGAAACTAAATGTGCTAAAAAAAATTGCAAAATAAAAATTAACCTGCTTCACTTTGGAATAATCTATGATCTACCTTAACCAAACCAAGCTTTGCCCATCCCCTGACTGAGCTCTGCTAAACTGGATTAGATTCATCAGCTTCATGGATTTGATGTGTATCAACCCTGTCCTGGTGATTGTTGCTCCATGAGGGAATTCCCTCGATTGCTGTGAAGTCAGCGGCCAGATGAGCACTTCTCAGGGCTTCCCCATTGCTCTGGCTGGATACTCACACACACACACACACACACACACACACACACACACACACACACACACACACACACACACACACACACACACACACACACACACACACCCACACACACACACACACACACACACACACACACACACACACACACACACACACACACACACACACACACACACACACACACACAGGTCTGAAGCTTGCAATGGAACCTGGCAGTGCTACAGGATTCCCTCCACTGTTTGATTCTCAGTGAAATCCATAAACTGTTTTCTCTGTGTTGGTTGCATTTCCAGCTCCTTTCAGTCAGATATTACACATGAAGTCTGTCTCAGCTGGTCTTTGCGTTATTTGACTCACCGATTATGAAAAATTCAACTTTTCATCGACTCAAAAGGTTTAAAACTGATCTCTATCTGTTTCACTCATCTTCGTAAAAAACTTAAACAGATGCACTTTAAAAAGTCAAAGCAGACGGTAGTGTTGCCATCTTTATGTCTCACTCTAGGAGGAAGGTTCTTTTTATGACCTCAGTGTTGGTTTCAGGCCAAACCTACCCTGTAGGATTGCTGTCTATAACTCTAATGTGGAATTCATCCCATGAAACACCCCACTTAGTTCTGGGGGGTTTTAGCCAAACTCTGGAGCTTTCTTTACACGCAGAAAGCACCAAGTCCTCGTTTGACACCCTGCAGCTCTTTCAGATGCTCTGATCACCTGAGGGCAGGGTCCCTATCAGGCTCGGACTGGGACTGAGCCTGACTTGGACTCGGCAGGTCCTCGGACCAGCACCACATCAGCAGGGTTGCCAGATGTCACTGACTCACGTTTTCCAGCCCAAAAAATTTTCATAAACTGCCTGGATATACGAAATATCGCCCAATTTGAACCAAAGTCTATTGATTTCTTAGGCCATTAATCTAAAGAAAAAGATTTTTTTTACCCATAGATGGCGTCCTAAACTGTCCGATTGGGAAACATCCCAACCTGGCAATAATCCTTTAGAAGCAAAACCCCATCATGCACCGCAACATATTTTTGCAAAATATTCTATCATAAATTCGCCAAATATAAGAGGAACATCATAGTTTGGTTTAAAGAAAGCATTTTAGTTTTATTGTAATTTAGTTCGTTGCAAGGATTTTATAGTTTGAAGAAATATATGCCAACCGTCACAAGGATGTGCATGACATGGAAGGGCTATATATACTGCATGCATCATTTACTAGGGGTGTGAATCACATCCATCATGACAATTCGATTCAGTTTCGATTTCCTGACCAAATGATTCGATTATATTCGATACTCAAGAATACACCACGATTCGATTCGATTAATTGGTTCATTTTTTTTTTTTTTTTACCTTACAGGCTAGACAATGTTTCAAATTTGAAATAAATCAATTAAAGCTGTAATATTGTTATGCATTTTATTTTTTAGAAACAACAGCAAATAACAGAAGCGGAAAAGTTGCATCAGAAAATACTGCACAAAATCAGTGCAATGAGTGCAATGCAATACCTCGGCTCCAGACGTCCCGCCCCCTTGAGGGATGCTCCGCTGCTCCTCTCCAAAATTGTAGCTGACCGCAAACAGTGCCGCAGACAGGAGGCCGGCTTGTTTTGTTTTTATGACCGAAATTGCGGAAAACAACTCGTGAAGTTTGACCCACTAGAAGAGTGAGGTGCGCGAGAACGCTGGGACCCTTTTCCACCTGGATCTCTGCTCTTTTTGGCCCTGATGTCCCTCCGTCGTCGGACTAAACTCGCCCCCACTTCCTCGCCATCTCGGGCGTATCTAGACCCACATTGTGTAGCTCAGACCACGCTTCAATATTGAGCATCAATCAAAAATGTCTGCATCAAGCTCACTGCAACACACTGCTGTAAGAGTATAACCAGGAAGCGAGGTAGGAGGGCAAAATAGGTTTAGCGCCACCGCAGCACGGGAGGGAGAATTACGCCCAGGAGCAAATGGATAAAAATAGACCGATTATCTTGCGGACGTGTCGATGCATCGATACAAAACTATTATTATTTACACCCCTATCATTTACGTAATTAACATTGCATTACTCTTGAGCTCCTTGAGGTATTTATTGTCACAGGTAGGAGCTTTGGCCGTCAGTGTTGGGGTCGCAATGATTTAAGGGGGGCGGGCCCTCGCACACTGAAATTAGGACCGGCCCACCAGGCAAATGCTCGCTATCACAGATTACCAGTCCCAGCCTGGTCCCTATCTATCTTTTATTTTATATAATATCAGGTCAATCTCCTGTTCTTGTGAAATTATGCAAGTATTTTATATTTATTTATTGATGCCATGTTTTATACTTTGTAAATAATACTTTACTGGAACCTTTTGTACCCTTCCCCAGAGTGATATCTTTAAACATAATCTGTTTTGATCCATCCCAATCTCTCTGTAATGCACTGCTACACTATTTCCAGCTTTAAATTGGCATTTTTGTAAACTTTGAATCCAAATCTAAAAAAGGAGACCTATTGCTCTGTCAAAAAAGCACTGTAAATGTCATTTTTAGTTTCACTTTGTATCTAAAGTATCTAAAAGTGCTACAAATGAGAGTTAAATGGATAACTATAAGAAAGCTAAATGCTTCAACTACAAACTAAATATTTACATATTTGAACACCTAAATTTTGTCCGATGTGTTCTGGTTTTTGTGCTTGCTGTTAGATGAATTGCACACGTAAATCCCTTTGCCGTCTAAAGATCTGCTCTGCTTGTTTGCAAGTATTTTAATACTCCCAAGCCTTCTAAAGAAGAGGTCTACTGTGTTCTCCTCATTTTAATTAGAGCTGTTAGTAATATTACCCAATAAATAGGAGCATTTTACATAATAGAACCTTGGAGGTTCTAAGTCGTTGCATAGACATCAAGGAGCTTCATCTTGCTCTCTGATTTACTCCCACTCTTCCCAATCCATTTCCCCTAAAACCATAGAGACTCTGTAATTAGAAGATCATCC